ACAATTTATTGATCCATCCATCAATTTACCCATCCATTCATCCATCCCCCAGTTCATCTATCCATCCATCTACTAATTCACCCATCCATTTATCCTTCCACCCACTGATCCTCCCTCCCATTCACCCACCCACCCATTGTATACCCTATAAAAACCAGAGCCCGCTAGCTGATGCTAATCCACATCTTCCAGCATCCTTCACCCTTGGTTATGCCTCGCTGGGGCTCCTAAGAATTGTAGATCATCACCATTAGGAACAACTGTCATTTCTGCTTGCCAAGGAGACAATTGTGCGAAGTCACAACAGCAGCCAGAAAGAGAGCAATAGATTGACAGAGGCGACCTCATCACCGCTGGAGTCCTGAGCTCTCCTTCTAAATGGTCAAGCAAGAGAGGAAATTAAACCTAGGAACACGATGTGGGTCCTTGCGGCAGCTGCTACATCTTGCCCATAGAACCTTCTCTCTTCCTTCTGGCTGAGATCAGACTAGGAAGCCTCTCCTTTTGGTGGCCCTATTTCTTGTAGAATTTCATTGTCCCTCAAGGCCCAAAGCCCTTCTTGGGGCACGGTGGTGCATCAAGCGTTCCCTGCTCAAGAAAAGACTAGCGTGAAGAAGATGGAGACCACAAGAAGGATCAGAGTCAACGCAAAGCAAATGCGCAGGTTCTCCACAGATGCAGGAGCTGAGGAGGTCCTTGGAGGGATCTCCACCACCACAGCATTTTGCATCTCCTGCTGACGGAGCCCGCTCAACATCCCTGCATGGAACCCCGTGGAAAACACCGGAACGATGCTGCTGAGGGTGAAGATGGGCGAAGTGGGACTGTAGGTATACTCCACAGAGAGGGCCACATTGCCAAAGGACCAGTTGGAAACTCTTGTGGAATCTTTGTCTTCTTCCAAGCCATCATCAGAGGTGGCCTGGGACGCCTCCGCTCCTGGTGCTCCTATCTCTCGTAGGAGGGCTTCGTTGTTTCTCAAGGCCTGGAGGCCTCCTTGGGGCACGAGGGTCACCATCCGGCAGAAAGGGCAGACCACGAAGGAGACCACTCTGCTTTGGCAAACCAGTTTCCTGAGACAGGCGAGGCAGACGGTGTGAGAACACCAGAGAAGCTTCGGTACCCGCCTGGTGGAATCCTCTTGGTAGAACTCATAGCAGATGTTGCATTCTTTTCCGCAGCCATCGGCAGAGGACAGGAGGGCCATGTCTTCTTCAGGACTTGAGACCAAACTCTAGGAATCTTGGGTTTCTCCTACAGCCCCCAACTCAAGGCACTTGAGTTTCTCCTACAGCTCCAACACAAGGGAGTTGGGTTTCTCCTACAGCCCTCAACTCAAGACAGTTGGGTTTCTCCTACAGCCCTCAACTCAAGACAAGGATCTTTCTGAAGATCCTTGCTGGTCACCTTCGTAGTGTTTCTTTGAAGCACTCAACCTGCCTTGACCGTGCTCAAGTCCAAGATGCCAGGACGCTCTTAACTCTTCCGGATAATCAGCTGAAAGTGGGTTGAGATTTCCAGTCAACAAAGGAGTTGAGAACCAGCGACCAGCAAATAAAAACCGGTCTCGCTCCACACCCTCGCCTCCTCTGAACTTTAATCCTTAATCAATGACTTGTTAACTCAATGTTTGTGGGAGTTTACTGGCAGTGACCGTGCCAGGTGAAAATAACTCCCCACAAAAGCGATTCCTGGAGTAATTTCCAGTATTCACAGTGATTTAAGGACACGGGTGGACTTCCTCATTCGTAGCTCCTTCGACAAACTTGTCCTCCCCGTCTTGATCTTGCAGAGCCTCGAAAGCACAGGGAGTCCTTGACTTAAAAGAGATGGTTTGGTGACTCATGTACAACAGTGCTGAAAAAAGGGATGTGGGAGCGTGTTTTTTCCCCCCCACTCTTACTCCGTTTGGGCGAAACCGAACAGAATTAGCTATGACGCTGGAAGAAGGGCCTCTGCCTAGTATCGGCGGGGATGGGTTTCCCCTTGTTGCGACTGTGGTGCTGACGTGCCGACTGTGAAACGTACAACGTGCAAGACTGCCCCACGAGGTTTGTCCTCTGGCTCCCCAAAAGATCTGCACGAAGCAACATCTGGAGAGCTGAACTGGACATCCGGTTGGGAGGCCACTGCCTTATTACCCCTGTAGATGTTTTCTATATAATTAATGTGGACCACGTCAATACGTTTACTTCTCATCACGTGCTAAATAATATATAAAAAGCATCCATTTTTGTTCTAACTGGCCCTGCTCAAGTTGTTGAGATGCTGCCAAGTCATTGGATGCGTCTTTTAACCTAGAGTGCGGGACTTGCCACTTTTCTGGTCTACAACTCACACCATTGGCTGGGCCAAGGGGAGTATGCGTTGGGCCGTCGGCTCAGACTTATTTGGGTTCAGCCAGATGTCACATTCCAGCTGGCTGAAAGTCCACTGTGTAGGACAGTTGTCCTAACCAAATTTGGGCCATGTTTACCGTTTTATAAAATGCAAAGCTGTTTCTTTAAGTTATTTCTTCTGTGCCCTCAAAAGAATCTTTTACCTTACGCTGCAGATGTCCCGAACTTGATTTTACTGCTTTCAAGGATGGGTGTGTGAATAATAAAATCTGAAAAGGTTAAAACATCTGTAAAGGTTAAATTGTTTGCAACTGGACCAAACTGTATTAAAACGGAGGCGTTTCGTTACTCGTCCTAGTAACCTAGTCAAAATGAACATTTGGGGAGCCAGGAAGTCATCAGAATGAAGGATGAGTAACGAAACATCTCCGTTTTAATACGGTTTGGTCCAGTTGCAAACGATGTAACCTTTTCCAATACTTTCGGCCCTGGATGATTGAGTCTTCATTGACGTGACAGGGGGAACAACATTTTGGAGTCCTGCTGTAAGACTAAGAGGGTTTAAGGAAGCAACAGTCTTGGAGGACAGTGAAGGACAACCACGACTTGAAGCTCAGGAATTTTATTTCTTGGTTGAAGTACACAGAAAACATGACATTGCAAACAGATCGATGGAGGCACCAGACAAACATGCAGGACGTAGGGCGATCTTTGGAAAGAACTCCCGCTGGGTGACGGGCTTTGATGGTCCTCTCCCTCCTTCACGGCTTTTCACACACAACCCAAGACACCCCAAAAACGAGGTGATGGGGGAGAAACACAGCTAGAGAAGGCTTCTGTCTGGAACAGCAAAGGCCAGAGATTCTCCACGGGGAACATGGGTGAGAGCATCATCAGAACTTGTCTGACTTGCAGTCAAGACCACATGTGGTCTTGACTTGGGGATAAGAGTCCAAAAAGTTTTGTATACACCTCCTCCCCTTCCCAACACTGAAGCACTGTCCTTGTGTACTCGTGACCTCAGATGCCCCTCTGCCATTCCTTTTCCTAGGAAGACTGATGCAGCAGTCAGGGCTAAGGGTGGGAGTCTGGTTCCCAATCCCCTCGCCCTCCAGACTCTACAGCCCAGGGTATCCAACCTTGGTCACTTTTGAGACTTGGGGGACTTCCAACTCCTAGAATGCCCCACGCTGGCTTTCAGATGTTTTAAGCCTCAAAAGTTGGACCTCTCTGCTCTACGAGCACTTTTTCCTCCCCCTTTCTTTCCCTCAACTCCCATCCTCCTCAAGGCTAAAGATTCAAGACAAGCAGACCCAACCAGGAAGGTCCTATCTCAGGGCTCCCCATACCTGGCAACTTTAATACTTGTGGACTTCAACTTAGTCTTGAAAAGTTGCTAAGTTTGGAGACCTCTGTCCTATCTGGACTCTCCCAACTGGTGCGGCCCCAGAAAGATGGGGGAGGGAGGAGAGGCAAGCAGAGAACATTTCCCCCCCCACACACACACAAACACTAACGGCTCTTCCAAGCATCCCCAGAATGGTGAGTGGTTCAGTCCAAAGAAAAGTGCAGATTTCTCAGGTAGAGAACAAAGCTTCCAGTCCTCACGGGAACCTCACCGGCCCACTTTCTGGGGAAGAGCAGGCTGGCCAGGACTTCCAAGTCCACTTCCTGACTAATTAATCGAGCGTTGAATTGCATGCTTGCCAAGCAGAGCAGCCTCTCACCCAATTGGGCACCCCTTTCCAGGAACCCAGCCTGCCTTCAGGCCACCTGGGTTCGGCTTTCGTCTCTTAAGGGAGCGGTCCCTGCCAGGCTGCCATCTTTGGCTGGCGAGATCCCTCCGCTCGTTGGGGAAGAGCTGAGAAGAAACCTTTTCCTTCCCTTCCCCTCCGATATTTTGCTAACCGCTCCTCCTTTCAGTTGCCCAGTGTGACCAGGAAGATATTGGCAAACCCCTGGCCAGGGAGGTTTGAAATCATTTCAGTGAGGACTAGCAGCTTGGTTGAGATTCCCTGTATAAAGGGCCCTTTTGATTCTCCTCTGACATTTTTGCCCACTGATACGATGCTTCCCCAAAAATAAGGCCCTTTCATCATCCTCACACCCCCACCCTATCTTAATTTTTACCCGTATACTCTGGAGTGGGCAGGATCTTAATTAGGGCTTATTTTGGGCACGTGTGTAAAAACCAAGCTAGGACTTACTTTCAGGGTAGGTCATATTTTGGGGGAAACAGGGTAGTTGTTGGGATGATCCTGTCACCCACCCTGCCTTAAATTCCTTCAAGGGGTTAAACGCCAACTCTGCAGAGATTTCTCCATCGTCCAAAGTCATGGTTGACCCAAAAGACAACTGGATTTTTCTTGGCTTTTTAAAATCCCTTTCCTTGAAAACATGTCGCTTCTCATCCAAGACTCTGGAAGAAGCTTCTTACGAGGAGAAGCGAAACGCTTTCGAAGAAGCAAACCAAGAAAATCCCGCTTGCCTTTTGGGCATCCCTTCAGTTACTTCCCAATGGCCTGGACGCTTCGAACGAATCGCGCTCCTCCTGCACCGCGGACAACAGCGAGCGGAAAAAAAACACCGGCGTACATTATTTAGTGCAAAAGGCGCGGCGCGCACTTCCTTCCTACCCCATCGTCTGGCGTGCGGCATTACCGGAGAGGGGAGTGCTCGGAAACACAAGGCAGCCATTCCGAGAATACAGCCGTGGACCAAACAAGACGTGCAAAAAAACGGAAATGAGGAAGGCTGGAATTCCAGGGTTTCTTTTTCTTTTTTCTTTTCCCCTCTTGGTTTCTCCTCCAGGAGGGGATAAAAAAAAGAAAAAACACAACCCTTTCCCTTTTTTCCCCATCCCTGAGTAGGCTAGCCGCTGTGGAAAAGCCGGATCCGTTGCACGATGTCTTGTCGGCACAGCGGACAGGTGCGCAAGGCTTCGGAGCAGCTGTGGCAACAGCAGACGTGACCGCAGTTCAGAAACACGACTTGGGCCTGGGAAGGAGAAAGAGGCCAAGCCAGGCTGGGTGTCAGCCTTGGAAGCTATCTTTTAACTTGGAAGCTTCCACCTTCCGTGCCTGGGATTTTGCAAAACCCCCACACCAAGCTAGTGGTAACACTGGTGGAATCCTCACCCCTGCCCGCCCCGCCTCCCACTCCACAAGGACTCCCGGGGAGGGGCTTACCTGTAGCTCCATGCAGACGACACACTCGCAGTGGCGTTCTTCTGTTGGCGGAGCCGATGGGACTTCGGGGCTGGCGGACTCTTCTCTAAACTCCGGAGCGGACGGCCCTGTTTTGTCGGCTGGCTTCAGCAGTTCTGCAACCAGATGGAGGGCAGGCAGAGGGTGAGGAGGGGCTCGAGGAAGAAAATGGGTGACCGGGCGGGATTGGGAGAAGGTGGAGAAGCTCCTCAAGGAATCTCCGTTGCTCCGAAGAAAGCGGACTCTTGTCGAATTCAAACCTTGGTGCCCTCATGGAAGACCCTATTGTGTACTTCACTAGGCAAGAAGTTCCTTGGGAATTTTTCTCCCACCCTCCATCTAAGCTGCCCTCCTAAAATGGCTGGGTAGCCCCCTCTCTGTGTTCTCCCCGCCGTTTCAGCGCAGGCTACCTTGAGACGGCTTCCCACGTTCCCAAATGGGTTGGACTTTTGGTTCAAAAGACCCGACGTGTACAGACAAGAGCAAAGGCAACCCCATGGAATATGGAGGCTTCCCCCAAGGGATGCCCCCATTCCTCCATCCCACCCACCCCCCAACCCCCAGCCGGGGACAGATAGGACATCCCGAGAAGGTAACCTGGTATTGTTTCTGCGACAGCTTGTATCTCCCGAGCTTTCTGGACGATGGCGTGTTGCAAGCCAGATTCAGTTATTCCGATCTGCAAGAAAGCAAGAGTGGTTGGAACCTAAAACCACAGGGATGGAAGGGGCCTTGGAGGTCTCCTAGTCTAGCCCCTCTGCTCAAGGCAGGAACTATACACCATCCTGGTCCAATGGCTGTGCAATCTATTTTTGAACGCTTCCGGTGGTGGATCACCTACAACTTATTCCACGGGTCAATTCTCCTCACTGACAAAAATTCCTCCTTAGTTCCAAGTTGCTTCTCTCTCTCTCTCTGGAACAGCCCTTCTTTTGTTTTCAGCATTATCCTTTTAAAAGTTTCATGGGGGTATGGCTAACCATCCCCCCTCTTTTGAACGGTCACTCAATGAGCTGTTGTATGTCAAGGACGACCAGTAATAATACTAAGGGTGTGAGGAAGAAGGGAAGTTACATTCCCTCACCCTCATGCCAGAGCTGAAGAAGCTTCCTGGACGAGAAGCGAAACGTCTTCCAAGAAAAACAAAGTCCAGTTGCCTCTTCAAAAAACAACAATAACAAAATAAAAACAACCCAGCACTTTGGGCACAAAAGACAACCACGGCCTGGATGGATGATGGAGAATTCCCCGCCAGGCAAGGACCTGTTTCTGACCTGGGCTAGGTCGCCAGGGACCATCCTGCTGAGCACGCCGAGCGATATCCGATGATGGGCGAAGACGGGGAGGTACTGCTCGGCCGAGAGCTCCGTCAAGAGTTTCACCAGCTGCTTCTCCAGACCTTCTTCCTGCCGAGAGAAAAGCGAGAGAGAGAGAAGGAAGGACTTGAGCCACTGGCCTGCTTCGTTTGGGGAGGGGGGCGGGGAGGGGAAATCGAGGCAAGGCACGTAGGACCCAAAGGAGATTGTCCGAGAAGGGAAGGAGGAAGGAAGAGAAGAAATAATTGAGATTTTTTCTCTGGCGGTTGGTCAATCACCTGCAACCGGAGAGAGAGCGGTTTCTGGTTCAGCAGCCGCTGGTACTGGATGAGCCAGTAGTTCTCCTGCTTCGTCTCGCTCTTGGCCTCCAGTTCTTTCTGGAAAAAAGAGGAAGAAAGAAAGAAAGGAAGGAAGGACATAAAGAGACAATTCAGCCTTAGCTGACATGCCCGAGAATCTGGCAGATGTGGAAAGGGGGGAAATGGTCTCTGAGCTTGGTTGTTTTCTTCCAGATGTTTCATTACCCAAACTAACGATATCAGTGATAGAAGGGAATGGAATTTGCAGGGGGGAAGAGGAGGAGGAGGAGGAGGAGGAGGAAAGAAGAAAGAAGGTAGAAGAAAAAGGAGGAGGAAGAGGAGGAGGAAGAAAAAGTAGGTAACATCATTAGTGCTAATAAAGATCATTAGCAGTGATGATGTTACCCAGATGGGTCATGAAACACCTGCAAGACAACAGCCGAGCACAGACAGCACCGAGGACCCCTCATTTCAGCCCCGAGCTACAAATATTCTCCTTTCTTGAAGTTCTCCAGTCTTATTAGCAGAAACCTGGGAATCGAATTGGAGAACCACCCCCAGCGAGCTAGGGGCTGTCTTCTCCAAGCCCAGTTGCCTGCAGAGAAAAAATTCCCACTAAATCTGGCCGTTCCTTCCCGAGTAGATCAGAGAAGGAAAACATGGCCAGGTGAGCTCATTCTTCCTTAACCACGTCTAACGGAGGGAGGACGGGACGGCTCAGAGGTTAAAGTGGTCAGCTGGAAAACCGACGGTCCGGGTTTGAGACCCGAGAGCCCCTGAATGGGGCGAGCTCCTGTAAATAGGTACCGCTGCTGCCCCCGGACCCTTTACCAAGATGGCCTGCAGCTCCTCTTCGCGCTCCCTTTTCTCCTTCAGCAGCTGCTGCAGCAGGAAACTCAGCATTTGCCGTTGCTCCCCGATTGCTTCCTGCAACACAAACGTGGCGGTGGGTGTGTTTTCCAAGGAGAGGCACAACTCCCTTCCCTGAGCGGCCTAGAATCGCGCTGGCTGGATTAGAACAGGGGTCTCTCTACATCTCCTTCCTCCCCAATTTCTAAAAAAACCCATTGCACTTTCCCTGGTAAGTTCAAATTCAGCAAGACTCGGGCCTGGCAAGAGGATGCGGTTCTCTGCTGTCAATCATCCCGAGACTCCCCATCATCCAGCCGGGCCTCCTCGCGGTTCATTTGCTTGACTTTCTGCGACCTGCTGACAAGCCAGGTCGAGGGGGGGGGAGTCAGGCTCACTTAACAACCATGTGGCTAACTTAACGGCGGTGGTCCCCTTAACCCAGGGGTCGCCAACCTTTTCGACCTCAGGGACCACCAAACTCAAAATTTTAGATCCCAGGGACCACCAACTGGTTCTGTAGGTGTGGCTTGGTGGTCATGTGACTGGCTGGGCATGGCTTGTTTGTAAATGTTATAAATATTTATATAAATATTGAATTTTTTTTATAAAAACAGAGCAACTTTTACCCAAAATCAGGCAAAGCGGACAGGCAGATTGAGTTGCTCATAGAACCACAGATTCATTCAGAGATCTATCTATCTGCCATCGGCTAGCTCAGTCTGTCATATAAAATTTGCTTGCAAGCAAACTCATTAAATTTGCTAGCAAGCAAACTCATTAAATTTGCTAGCAAGCAAACTCACAAAGGCTTAACCAATGTGGCAAGGAAAGTTGTGAAAAAAACCCAGGGCCAAAAACGAATTTCTCACTTCGTAACGTGAACTCCCACCAGTTATGGTTGTTGAGTTGAGGGTTACCCATATTCTAGGTGTCAAAATGCCAACTGGCAGGGATATAAGAAACAATTTTTTTAAAAAAATAATATGAAATCTATCTTTATTGTGCCGATTTGTTCGCTTCTTAAAGGGTCCCTTCCTGCTTCCGGTTTAAAAGAGAATTTCATGGGATGCATTCTATATTCATAAGGACTAGAAATGGATCCTTTTGGGGGGAAAAAACAACCCCCCCAAAATTAAAATTTTGTTTTGGGAAAGACACGGGCAACTCTAGTTTGATCGCCCCGTAACAGAATCCATGCAGCGGGAGAGATGGAATGGGTCGGTCGGAATGCTGATCAGTTGGTTAAAAAGAAAAAAGAAAGGCTCGGCGGGTGGAATAAGCACATCGAAGCAAAACTAGCCAGAAAAGAAAATCATAGGCCCTACCCCCACAAAAAAATATAAAAAATAAAAATGAAATGCTCAGCCAGTTTCTACAGGTAGTCCTTGACTTACAACCAGATTCGCTGAACGACCGTGTTCCTAGTTTTTTATGTATACCGAGAGTATTTACACCAACAAATTCCTTGTGTGTCCAATCACATTCGGCCAATGAAGTGTTCTATTCTATTCTATTCTATTCTATCCTATTCTAATTCTAATTCTAAAGAGACTTCAGCGATTCGCTGAACGACTGGGGAAGAAATCCCGTAAAGTGAAGGTGTCAAAAACTCACTTCATCGTCTCTGCTGAAGCCAACGACAATTGGAAGGGTTCCGTCGTGGCCGTAAGTCAAGGACTGCCTGTAGCCCCTTCTTCCACCCTCATTCCTGCTGCCACCAGATGGCCACCCTGCCCACCCCTCCAAAATCTCCACCCCACCACCCCCCGAAGTGATCTCAGCGTATCCTGGCAGCGTCGGCTGGAGAGGCCATTGAGCAAGTGGCGAAAACGGGGACTGATCCACTTCTCCCAGTTGCTAAACCAGAGGTCAGGCAGGAAGAGGAAGAGGAGGAGGAGGAGGGAGCCAAGCAGGAGGGGACGAGGGTCTCCAAAGGAGTTGGGGTGACCTACCTGCAGAGCCTCTGTGTCCAGCTGCTGCTTCTTTAACTCCAACTGGGTGAGCTCCAGTAACTCTCTCTCTATTAACTTAATCTAGGGAGAAGACGAAACAAGGGAAGCGGGAGGTTGGGTGTGTGTGTGTGTGTGTGTGTGTGTGTGTGTGTGCGTGCGTGCGCGTGTGTGTTTCATCTCCCCTAACCACAACGGCCTTTTTGGGAGGCTACATCTCACAAAGGACTAGAGGGTGTGTGCAGGTACGCCACCTTCAGCCAAACAGACTTGGGTGTGAGTTAACTACTCGGGAGCTCCTCGAGGCCCCGGACAGGGACGCGTGCAGCGCTGCAACTGACTTTGCTAACCTCGCGAACGTCACAGAGTTGGGCCTTCCAGTTTGTTTCTGGAGGCGCTGAAGCTCCCGTGGCCTTTTACTTGGCAGACTCAGGAGGTGGTTCTGCAGGACCCAGAGCTTACAGCACCGCAGCAAAAGCCACCCGAGGGCAGGAAAGTCCACAAAGCCCCGCCCCGCTTTCCCTCCCCGAACCATCACCGGTTAGTAAACTAAAAAGGCCTGGATAACCCACTTAGAGATGGGGGGTGGGTGGGGGAAGGTGCAGTCAAGGGAACAGGGTTTGGAGAAATTGGCAAACTCTACACCATCCCAGGGCCCCCGGCAACCATTCCCCTCCGGCAGGGATTCGGCCTTCGTTCAGCAGGGTGTGCGCGTTGAAGGGTGGAATATCAAAATGGACAAGCAACAGAAACGACGACGGACGCATGAAGAACAGAAAACCATGGAGATGAGGCTGTTTGGATGGACCCTTGGCAGGGTGGAAAGGCAAACAAGGCCGTCCCAGAGGGGGAGGCATGCTAGCCTGACACCCGGGGTGGGGTGGGGGGTGGAATACGTCTCGTCCCCAGCCCCAAATTTCTCCCCTTCCCCACAAGGATGGATACCCAGAAGTCTAAGGCTTGTTCAGGAAGGGAAGAGGGACGCTTCCTCCCGCTGTCCCCTGCCTTTCCCCCCCAAGCCTTAAAAATTTGGCGCTCACCTGGTTCCTGATCTGGCAGTGCATGAGGTCTCGCTTCACCTGGAGGGCTTCGAAGGCCGCCTTCTGCATCTCGCTCTAAAAGATGGGGATCGGGTGAGCACCTGTAGCGGTCTTAAACTGCCCGAGACCATCGGCCTATCCATCTCAGCGATACAGCCCTCCCTCCCAACGGTCTCTCTGCCCTCCCTCCTAATGGGTCTTTCTCCGCCACGAAGTCAGAAACATGCCAACGAAACTTCCCGGGATGGAATTTCTTGCCAGCAAGGGTGATCTACCCACTAAGCTACAAAATCCTTCCTCCCTAGAGTGAGAACTCTGCATAAAGAGAGCAGCCTACGAAATCTAGGGCTGTACTTGCCTGGCAGACCTGAGTTTGGGATCTCTATCCCTACCCACCTGCAAAAAGGACACCTGGCTTTAAGCAATGGATTACCCTCTTCAACAGTGCAGGCTGAGATATATATATCAAAACGTTGATTTAGCTACTCTAAAAATTTCAGGGAGCCAGGTAGGTAAATAGGTAGGTAAATAGGTAGGTAGATAATAAAATAGATTAGGTAGACAGACAATAATATCCTGTAGATTAGGTGGGTAGGTAGATGGATAGATGGATGGATATAGCTAGCTAGCTAGGCAGTCGAGAGACAGACAGAATTAGATTATAGATAGAATGAATTAGATAAATATAGACAGACGAGAGAAAGACAGTAGAAATAGATATAAATAAATATGGAAGATAGATGATATAGATAGATCTAGATAGTCGATAGAGATAAAGATAGATTTTTCTTATATGTATCCATTTCATGTATTCATAACTATGTTTATACTTATACCTATTATAATCGCTTGACAAAATAAAATAAATAAAATAATTAAATAGAGATAGAAAAACAGACAGACAGAGACAGGCAGGCAGATAGATCGATAGATCTAGATAGACAGCCAATAGAGATAAAAAGAGAGAGAGATTTGGAAAAGCTATGGTTTTTGTTAGAAAATTTAAAGAATTGCCACTGAACAGATAGAAAAAGGCAGGGCCCTGTTATCAGGATATTCCTAAAGCGAAGACTTTTGCAGAAAGGACACAAGTGTGTTAAGTCCACGTGAATCCCCAAAAAGGTCAGTTAATGTGACAACGGCCTCCAAAAGCTTGGAATGTTGTTGTGAAACCACGAGAGCAGAACGGTTGCTTCGTGGGATGAGACCAAGGTCCGGGATCGAGTTTCTAAGAAAGGCCAAACCAGGTGGGAAGCCTTAGAACAAGGCACCGGGAGGCAAAATGTGACGATTTGCCCTCTTCAGCCAGAAATAAATTGTTTTTGAGTCTTTTTTTTGGGGGGCGGGGGAGTAGACAAACAACAGAGCAAGAACCCACATCTCTAGACTTTGCCTTGTGAGCCTTTGCGGAAACGATTCTGAACCCTTCTCAAGTGGAACTAACAGAATCGAATCTCTCTCTTCATTAGAGGCTCGATTCAAAGCTATGTTCGCATGACAACACAACCCCAAACCTAGCTTGCTTAGTTCTGGCTCTTAGTGTGTGGCTTCAATTGAGCTGTGGTTCAAATAAATCCCCGTTAAGGTCTCTTAAAAGGATGAAGGGGGCTTCTGTGCATCGCTGAGAACATCTGAACGTCTGAAGAGCATCTAACATTGTGCGGATGATGGATGCTGTAGTCCACTAGAGGAATCTTCTAGTTTTCTAAGACTTTGACTACGGTCCCTATCATCTGTCCATTGGCTGTGCTGATAGGAATTGTAGTCCTACGCATGTCAAGAACATCCATCTGCCTATCTCTTAGGCGGGTGAACCAGATCTAGAGAAATCAAATGCTTGGTCAACGAATACGGTGGCTTCCAATTCTCTACGTTCTCCTAGTCAAAGACCTGCTTAGTTCCTTCTCCCGTGAGCGAATACCCTTCCACTACCCACCACCACCCCATAATACCTCCTGAAGGATCTGGCTGATGGCTTTGTTCTGATCCAGCTGCTGCCAAGCCAGGATCTGCTGGAACTTCTCATCCATCTTGGCAAGGCTGCAAGAGAAGAGGTCTTGGATGACTCTAGTTGCACATCAGGGAAAGGAGGCACGGACTGTAACTCACGGTATGTCACAGTAGGGACACTGATTTGTAGGATGAGGAGGCCCATTTCACTAAGGCATTGTGTGGATTCTCTTGCTTTGAGCCTCAAGTCTTAGGAGAAACCAGCAAGAATGGCCTATAAACTTGGATTTATGGTTTAACATACACCAACGCTACCAATTATGGCTCCTTCAAATTGTTTTTAAATATTTTGGATTTTTCAGCGAGGTCAGAGCGGGCCAGAGGATGATATCCAGGGACACCAGCAGACCCAGTAGGCAGTGTTCTCTTCCCGGTGTGGCATCAGAAACGGAGAAAGTTGGGCGCTCCCACGAGGAGTAGGATCATATTGCCGGGATCCTTCACCAGCTGGACCACATGGGACAGCAGACTTCTAGGAAGGGCCTCCATCTCTTTTTCTGGAAGTTCTCAACCCTTTGACCTAGCAGGTCTCACCAAGTTCTGGAGAACCAGCCGAGGTTCGATTCAATGGGGGGTGATTTCCCTAGTCTTGTGACCGCGAGTTCAATTAAAATGAGAAAGAATTCGGTTCCAACTGATGCTATGTAAGGATGGACCCGTCGTTCCTCCTCCGCTCGCCTAACCTGCCGCGTTCTTGCGAAGAGATCGATGCCTACAGTCGTTTTCCCGTGAAAATAATATTCCCACCCTCCCAATCCTTGGCTTCTCCGGTACCTGCAGCACGTCTGATTGACAAGGTCCTGGCGACGAGACTCGTAGGCTCCCTGGAGTAGTTTGTTCTTGTAGGTCTCAGACAACATCTGTTTCATGGCCGCTGGGAGAGGGAAATTGGGGGGAAGAAGAATTAAAAACCTTCATCCATATCTCCAATGGCATAAAAACTCAAAAAGAGATTTTCAAAAAGGGGTTTTTAGCATGGAGGTTGCTTCTATTTGTATTCCACACCCCGCACCCCGGTTTTTAATGGTTGTGAGCTCTACAGAGGCGACACAGATTAAATAACGGGGAAAGAAAATTAAAATAAAACAGATTGCACACCTCCAACAGGGATTCCCTTGAAAAGGGCTGAGTTCCCGACCCTCCAAGATGGCAGAGCAAGGAGGAGATGACAGGATAAGCACCTGCACCCCATCGATGGCCATACAGTGTTAATGACACACGATCAATGCCCAAAACGATGTAAAGATAAAGGTTCCCTTCCTTGCACATCTGTACTAGTCATTTCTGGCTCTAGGGGGCGCTGCTCACCTCCGTTACAAAGCCAAAGAGCCCGAAGGCGTCTCCGTGGGTCATGTGGCCGGCATGACTAAACGCCTTCGAAGGCACACGGAGGAACGCTGTTCCCTTCCCACCAAAGGGGTCCCTATTTTCCTACTTGCGTTTCTTCACGCTTTCGAACTGCGGAAGCTACGACAAGCAACGGGAGCTCCCTCCGTGATGCGGTGCTAGGGATTCAAACCACTGCACCGACGATTTTTCTGATCGACAAAACTCAGCGTCTTAGCCCCTGAGCCACCCGCTACGATGAGTACCGAACTAATTTTTCCCATAAGGAACCAATGTACTGAGTCACAAGGCAGCCGACATCAACAAGTTCAAGCTTCTTCACTGCGTATCAAACAAACAACGAATACCGGGGACAAGTTTTCGCTTTTCAAAATGTGTCGACTACCAACTTCGATGAGTTTCACAGCAGTTGAGTACCGGGGTAGCACTGTACTCACCGGCTACTTCTTTCCTCCTCAGTTGTTCCGTTTCTTCTTGAGTGATGGCCATCAACTGCTCCATCCGGATCCTAAGAGCGATGTGAGAGAGTGACAGGTGCCCCAACGGTTCACCTCAACATTTTTCAAGAGTTCGATTCCATTGTCTTCCTCCCTCTCCACACCGCGAGGTTCAGTTGGGCTATAATTCTCAGCACCTCCCCGCCGCACCCACCCAGCGTTCAGATTTCTACCCCTCTCCCACTGACGTAGCCATCTTTCTGCTCCACATTGGAGGACTTTTTTCTGGAGATTTTGGGGGTGAGAATTGGCCACTAAAAAGCAGAGACATCCCCCTGCCAACAAAAGGGCGCAGAGACGAGATTTTCCCTCCAATCGATCAAGAAAAGCAGGGAACTCACCTGTCATTCTCCAGGGATTTTAAGATCTCGGAACTCTGTTTCTGCCTGGAAAGATTTTAAGAAATAAGGAAGGTCAGCTAACAAGAGTCACCATTCAGCATTTGTAAGCCAATCAGCTCCACCACTGGGGACACCTCCCCTTGTCCCTTTCGTGGGGCAAGTCTGGATCTTGGATGTACAAGCTAGTCCTTGAGTTACAACAGTTCATTTAGCAACCAGTCAAAGTTACAACGGCACTGGAAAAAAACCATAAACTTACAACTCGACCAATGGTGTAGGATCCTGGGGTCACTTGATCAAAATTTTGGGCATTTGCAACCAGAATGTATTTACGACGGGTGCAATGTCCTGGGGGGTCACAGGACCAACGTTTCCAGCAAGCCAAACAATGGGTGAAGCTGGATTCACTTAATGTCCACAGCACAAAATTGGGGGCAGCTCACTTAAGCCAAAGAAGTTCTGGCCTGAACTGTCAGTTGTAAGTCGCAAGAGCCGTGGTGGCGCAGTGCTTAGAATGCAGGGTTGCGGGTGAATTCTGCTGACCGCCTGCAGTTCGATCCTGACCGGGTCGAGGTTGACTCAGCCTTCCGTCCTTCCGAAGTCGGTCAAATAAAGACCCAGCTAGTTTGGGGAGGGGGGGGCAAGAGGCTGACTCTGTAAACTGCTTAGAGAGGGCTGCGAAGCACTACAAAGCAGTGTGTAAGTCTAAGCGCTTGTTGCTGTAACCGATAGGCTGCCGCATCAGGAGCAGCGGTTAGTATGCAGCATCGCGGGCAAACTCTGCCCGCAGCCTGGAGTTCGATCCTGACCGGTTCAAGGTTGACTCAGCCTTCCGAGGTGGGTAAAATGTTGGAGGGCCAAGGTGCTGACGCTGTAAACCGCTTAAGAGAGGGCTGCAAAGCACTGTGAAGCGGTATATAAGTATTGTTGCTACTGCTAGTAAGTTAAGGACACCCTGAACCCGCCTCTCACCTGCTGCAGCAGCCCAGGATGTGGAATTGATTCTACGGTTATCAGGTACCAGCCGATGCCCAGGCAGAAGTGTGTGTGTGTGTGTGTGTGTGTGTCCCTGTTCTGAGCTCCTACCTTTGATTATCTTTCAGCAGTTTCTGGATCCTGCCGGCCACCCCTTGTTCCATCTGTTTCAGCTGCTCCAGCAACTTCAGGCGCTCGGCTCCCAGGCGTCGCTGGTGGCGGGTGAGGCCTTCGTCCAGTTTCATCTGCTCCTGAAGATCAAAGGGAAAGCTACGCCCGGGGCCCAGTGCCGGAGCCGCGTGGCAAAAGGAAAAGAGCCCAGCCTGATTCACCCCAAATCAACGCCAAATCCTCTAACGTCAGATACGGTGGAGAAGATGAAGGTATATGGTTGCAATGGGGAGGAGGAAAAACTGGAGGTTGCCTTACCTCTTTCATGCTTTGGAGAAATTCTCCTTTCTGGACGTGACTTTGATGCATCAATTGGACCTGTTCTCTCTGCTCCAGGTCCAGCCCACGCTCAAAGGCCAGTTTCTCCTGCATCTTCTGCTCCTAACAGGCAAACAGAGACGTCAGTCAACGGATTTCATACATATCCTCGACCTCGCCGTATCCAGCTCGGGCTTTTGCTCTTTCAAACTACAGATGGAGGAGACGATTGTCTGTGCCTGTCCTTTGACCCAGGGCCTTTCAAACCAGCAAGTCATCGTAAGCAAAACAAAAGGGGAAGGAAAAGGACCACTAGTCTTTCAAGAGAAGGAAAGGAAAAGGAAAGGAGAAAGGAAAAAGAAAGGAAAGAGAAAGGAAAGAGAAATAGGCAGACAGACATACACAATATGGATGGATAGCTACGCAGAAGACATAGAAGGGTGGATAGTTAGAAATGATGCACAGATGGATGCAGACAGACAGATAACTTGGATGGATGAATGGACCGACGATGGATGGGCAGACAGAGATGGATGAGAAGGTTGGATGGATAGTTAGACAAGAGGGAGGGAGGGGAAGGGGGGAGAGAGAGAGGAAGAAGAGAGAGAGAGATTTTTCACAGAGGCCTTGTACATAAGAAAAAGGAAAAGGAAGAGAGCGGCCATTTTAGGTCAAGGAGCCAAACCCAGACTGATTTTCTACGGAGATCGTTCTTTCATCCTCTATCCCCTCCCAACTGCAGATGAATGGAACAGGATTGACAAATCCCGCAACGAGGACAAGGAAGGGAGATCACGGGCATCCTTACCTTTCGCTTCTCGTAGTCTAGAAACCTGTTCTGCAATGAAAGTGAAAGGAGAAGTCAGCAAGGTTGATTTTAACAAGCTGCTGAACACAAACATGATGCGATTTTGCCTTTTTTTTTTTTTCCAGAAGGTCTGGGAAGACTTGGCTATTCACCTCTTCTGATTACTTCTTTTGATTGCTGTGAGCCAGCAAAAGCCACTGGGAGACTGGAGGCAGGCATGCAAGTTTCATAAATAATAATTTTGCAACTGACGTCCGGCATTGACAAACATCCTATTGGTCAATTGCAAAAGGGAAGCTCAGCTTGGAACAGCCTTACATCCTGGGAGGGTACCTTGAATGCCATCAGAAGACAAGCTCAATCAGAAAGCCAACCCTGGTCTAAACGTCTGGCTGACTGTACAACGAACCATAATAATGACATTGGACGCCGTGGCATTGACAAAATCCCAGATGGTCAATTGCAGAAGGCAGCTAGACCTGGAATAGCTTACATTCTGCAGCTGGAGCTTAGACACCATCAAACATCCCTCTAAAAGTGGAAGTTCTACATCAACTCTATGGGGGATATACCCACAAAACTGGTTCCTGAGAGTTTAGGGGAAAAAAAACCTCCTAAAATGGGATTCTTGTATATTTGGGGAGAGTTAACACTCACCTGCCACTCTGCTTCCTCCTCCAGGTATTTCCCAGGTGTCCTTCGAATACCGTCCGCAGATATCTCTCCGCCGTCGCTTTCCAACACAGGGAGTAAATACTGAGAAGGAGGTTTGTATTCCATGCCCACTTCTGGAAGGAAAGCCACACATCACAATATCATAATGCGGGCAGTCCTCGGTTTACGTCCACAGTTGAGCCTCAAAAGTTTCGTTCCCAAGCAAGAGTTATTCTGTGAGTTTCTCCCTGCCCCGCCCCCGGTTTTATGACCTTCCTTGCCACTGTTGTTAAGTGAACCGCCGCCATTGTTCCATTATTAATGTGGTCGTCTGGCTTTCCCCACAAAAGGGGATCGTGTAACCCCTGAGGTACTGCAACCGTCACAAATACGAGTCAGTGGCCAAGCGTGCAAATTTTGACCACGTGACCATAAGGGGGCTCCATGAAGTATGAAAAGTGACGGTCATGAGCCACTTTTCCCAGGGCGGTTGTAACGTTGAACGGCCCCTAAATGAACGGTTGCACTTTGAGGACTATCTGTGTACAGACCGTCCTTGAGTTATGACTGAAATGCTCACTTTCACAGAGGAACCTCTGGATGGCCTCGGTGCCTGCGCTGCAGACCTCACTTGGGGGGTAGAGCATTGCTGTAGCGTCCAGGGACAAGGTCTGCAAGAGAGGAACACACACACCCTGCAGCTGCCTTTAATCCGCAGGAAGCTGGGACTAGCCTGTTGCAATGGGGGGCAAATATCTGTAGCTCAGGAGGAGGAGGAGGAGGAGGAGGAAGAGGAAGAGTAGGAGTAGGAGTAGGGGAAGTTCATTCTCCGAACTTGTGGGTTGGTTTCCGAATGTTTTGTTACCAGGCTGGGTCACATCTTCAGTGGAGTTTAGGAGATGTTGTGTCAGTGTTCTTCTATTTATATGGGCTTATAAATGATAGATAGATAGATAGATAGATAGATAGATAGATAGATAGATAGAT